TGTCGCCGTCCCTGTCCCGCCCGTCGCGCCGAGGGCAGCCGGGCAGCGGGACGGGGCCCCGCAGCGCGGCCGTGTTCCCGCCAGAGCGGCGTGGGCGAGGGGCAGGGGCTGCCCGAAACGGTGCGACCTCCCCAGTCACCTCGTGTGTTGCGCCAAGGAGCAGCAGTGGAGCACGTGAATTTCTGCTCACGTCGGTAGTACTGGCAGGAGAAAAGTTAATGTTATAGTGTAACCCAGGCCCTGTTTAATTTTTCAACTTTTTGAAAAATTTTTCTTCTCCTTAGTGCGGCGACCATTATTTTGACGATGAGGGCGGGAGATTTACCAGGGACACACTGTGTGGCTTCCGCTTGACCCAGGCCGCAGGACTGGGCGAAGCTCTCGTGGTTGCTGTGCTGCTGCAGGCCTCTCCTTTGCCCCTCGCCTTCCCCTGCTCGCACCGGCGTCACGAGGCATTTTGTGGGAGCCGTGCGGAAGGCAGGCTGAGAGCTGGCAGGTTGCGGCTCTACACAGCAAAGCGCTCTCTGTCCGTGTCCCTTCGGTGATTGCACCTTATTAGCCGACCTAGTGTGGAGCTTCTAGCTCCTGGAGTAGGAAAACAGTTTGCCCTTGTCTGGGATACTGCCCCATCTACTTGTAGCAGGCGATCATAACAGCTGTGGTTTGTTTAGTTCAGCGTTAAAGCACAAGCACGGAACAAAACTGTTTCCTTCTCTTTTTTGTTTTCTCCTTTTCCAGAAGCAGCGCGAATCTGGTAGCGCCGTTGGGATGCTTGGTCTCTAGGCAAAAGCACACTCTTCCCGACTTGCCTTATGACTATGGGGCTCTTGAACCTCATATTAATGCAGAAATCATGCAGTTGCACCATAGCAAACATCACGCCACTTACGTCAACAACCTGAATGTTGCAGAGGAAAAGTACAAAGAGGCCCTCGCAAAAGGTTTGTATATTTGCAGTGAAGAGATGAAAGGGTAGCTCTTCAAGTTACATGCTATAGAAAAACAGGTTAACTTTTCTTTCCAGGAGAAATGCTTTCTTTTCAAAGAAGCTTTGAAATATCTAATTAAAGCTTGTGTTTCTATCTCTATTTTTTTACTTTTTTAACAATGAAATGTTTTAAGGAAAAAGCTTTTATTGCGGACTTCAGTGGTGATTGCACTAAGAACCTGGGTATGGTTAAAAAGAGTTCTGCTCTCTTTAGTAACATGAGAAGCTAGAAGAAACTGCAGTGATTCCTGTGGATTTAGTCCCTGTCTGCAGAAGTTACTGGAACTAAAGACAAGTCAGTAGGAAGTTGAAGTCATTTTGCTGAACAACATTGTAATGAAAGTGTAGTAACAAAATCACGTCAAGCAAAACTTTATAGCTGTATGGTTTCATGTCAGATGTTCAGCTGATGCTTTGTTGAAGTTCTGCTCCTGTCTGGTTTTTTTTCTCTGGGTATGATTGTGACTGAAGGTGCAGAGACTACACATTAGTAACTCTTCATTTTGACTCCTATGTATATTTCTGAATGGGAAAAAAAAATCAGGCTATTTTGCGTACAAAACAGTGATGCTAAAGCAGTGGAACCCTTTGGAGACATAAGAAGCAGTGGAACCTTCATGGAGACATAAGGCACCAGGGAGTTCTTTAAGGAATATGACTTGTGGAGGGGAAGAAACACAGGGTGGCTGCCCTTCGGTGACATAAGGGTTACCTGTATGCAGGGCTGGAAGCAAGGGTCGGGATTGCATGCAAACTACTCATGTAGTCTGTGGAAGTTTCTCAGTGGGGTTGTGGTCTTCGTTTTTCTTTTAAAAGCCTACCTGGCCTGAGAAGAGATGGAGAGTTTGCAAATGTCCAAGAGTCATTGGAGGAGAGGTTTCTGATGCAAAGTTCTGAGGGAGGGGGAGCATTTTGCTCATGTGGGTACTCGCTGTACTCATTGACCTTTTCTGGATCACAGTTTATTTGCCCTGTAAATATTTTAAGAAGTTTAAAAAGTCCTAACTCACAAATCAATAAAGCTAATGGGCAAACAGAGTTGTTCTGTGGTGGTAATACTGGGAAGCTTACAGGTGCTGCTCCTTAAAACGTTCTGGTCACCCCGTTGCTTTATCCTACTATGGAGTGGCAGTAGATACTTAGTACTCTGTGATAGGCACAATGCTGGGACATTGCATATCATTAAGATGGGATAAGAAAAGGTAGTTTGAAATCTTTAATGTGCTTTGTGGCAGTCACTGTTTAAAATATGGATAACAATCACAACGTCTTTTTTTCCCATAGACGTGTTACAGGCTTGCAAGACTTAGCAGATTTAGGAGAGTGGTGGGTGTCTAGCTGTTGCTTAGCTGTTAGTGTGGTGATATTGTTTTTATTATTATTTTAATATAATTTTTATGTTCTTTAAATATATATGTTATATAATATATAAAAATTATATATATTTATAAATATATAGATATATAAATAAATAAAATAAATATTTATAAATATTTATAAATATATATATTTATATATATAAATATATAATGTTCTGCATCTTTAGGTGATGTTACAGCTCAGGTGTCTCTTCAGCCTGCACTTAAGTTCAATGGTGGAGGCCATATCAATCACACCATCTTCTGGACAAACCTTTCTCCTAATGGAGGAGGAGAGCCTAAAGGTTAGTGCTTGTTACTGAGGTTTATTGAGTCAATTTTAATTGACCAATTTTCATTGACCTCTCTTTGGAAATGTCCAAGGGATCTTCATTTTTCAGAGTTAATTTTGGCATGAAAGGCAAAATAGAAAAATATTCCCGTGCTAAATATTTTTATTTTTTAACGTGGATTCTCTGTATGCTGCAAAATAACTGGCTGTTGCTGTAAATTGTCTGCTATCCTCATAAGAGATCATAGCTGCCCAAAGCTGTGCTAAGAAAGATATGACTTACATGTGCCCAGCTCACGTGGAGATCCAGAGCTCATGAAGTGCCCAGTGGATGGAGTTGCATTAACTGGCCCCTCACTGCTGTCCGTTACAGCTGGCAGCCTGTGCCTCAGGACATAAACTTGGAGCCCTCTGCACTCAGCAGCCTCAGGGCTGACCTGGCGGAGTGACAGACCCTGCAGCTCAAGGTTTGTCTCGGGTCTCTGCTGCCCGATTCGGCCCTGCCGGCCGGGAAGCGATGCGTGTGTTTTTGTGGAACTTCCCAGGAACAAGTGTTTTCACGGAGCCTGGTGCAGTTAACCACCCAGAAGTGTCGCGATTGTTACTGCAAGAAGAACAACTCTTTCATTCTTACACTAATCAGGTCAAAACCAGCTGTGCTAATACAATAGTCCCGCTGCTGCAGTACAGTCTAATCCAATAGGAACAGAAACATCTAAAATCTGAGGTATTGTGTGAATGAGCAAATCCAGCTTTGGCAGAGATTGTCTGCTTAATGTGATAATACAAAAATGAAGTCATAACACATTGCAAAGACTTGATGCTTTGTTCTGAGCAGTTACAAGCTTTGTGTCAATAAAAAAGTCAGTGAGCCAAAAATAACTTCTTTTGGTTTGAACTGCATTATCTAAGGCTTTTGCTGGAAACCTCCTAAAGCTTCTCTGAAATGCACTGGCAGCAATCCCCAAGAGATTGACTTCCAGAATCTTCTGTCTGAGTGTTGGAGGGATAAAGAATGAATTATGTACTTCAGCATAGCACTCTGTAAAGAATTCTTGCATCGTAATCTTACACAGCTAACTAGCAGCACAGACACTCTCAGGTCTAGAATAAACATATATGTATCTGAAAACCAAATGTGTACTAGGATGCAGAGGAGAGAAGATAGTCTGAGAAAGACTGTGTACATTCATGGAAGTGGATTTGAAGGACACCCAAATATTTCTTTGCACTGCGACAAAGAAACCACAGACATTCTGGGTTGCTCCTCTAGGTATGCAGATTGTACTCGCTTTCTTGCCTTTTTTTTTCCTAGACGTTCTCTACAGTGTTCCCTTGTCTTTTAGGCAAGACTGTAAGCTCATGAGTGTCCTGCTGAGAGCACTGTGGTGGTGTCTCCGGTGATGGCATCTTTGTTTACTGCCCTAAATTCTTTCCTGTTTTCTTGCTCTATTAAACACATCAGGACAGAACTGTTAATCAATGATGCAACTACCCTGTCTAGAGACTTCCTTCCCTCAGATCCCAAATGCTTCTATCTCTGTTTATCTGCAGGAAATACATGGCAATAGAAGAAGGTTAAGTACCTGATATTCTCTGATGTTCTTGTCTATTATTTTGTTTTTTAAAGGTGAATTGATGGAAGCCATCAAACGGGACTTTGGTTCCTTTGCGAACTTCAAGGAGAAGCTGACAGCTGTATCAGTTGGTGTCCAGGGATCAGGCTGGGGGTGGCTTGGCTATAACAAGGAGCAGGGGCGCCTACAAATTGCAGCCTGTGCAAACCAAGACCCTCTGCAAGGAACAACAGGTCAGGTTTCTCCTGTTCGCTCCACTTCTCTCTTTGGAGATTTCAGAGACAGATGTATCTGATCTAAAAGGCCTTTTCAGATAACTGGTGATAAAAAAAATGACTACATAAGTAGGGCTGGAGACTACCTGAATAACATCCTAGCATAAAAAAAAAAAAAAAAAAAGGAAATCCAGTTGCAGTTTTAAAACAGAGTTTGCAAAGAAGGGCTTACAAACTCTGCAGAGAGCAGTGGGGTTAACAGTCTGTCTAGTCGAAGAGAAGACAGAAGAGGTGTATTATGGAAGCTATCTGTTTAAGGCAGCAGTTTTAGCTGGAGTTCTTTCAAACTGTTCACCTGTGCAGCTCACCGTGAGGAGTGTTGGGAAGTTTAAGCTTCTTGCCCTTTAATTGGTTCCTCTGACAGCAAAGTTATTCACAGAACTGTTTCCGTAGGCCAGAAAGCAGGAGAGAAGAAGGTGTGTTTAACTACTCTCGTTTTGAAGTGGGCTAAATTTGAAATGGTAGGCTTATAACATGCTTCCTTTGTCAGTTAAACACTCAAAAGGAGATAGTTCTTATGGATGAGCCAACAGAATAATGCTGGCTGTACTCTTTTAAAGATTTTTTTTCTCTATAAAGTCACATGTGCTTATGACAGGCCAGTGAGAATCCTGTCCTTGATGGCAGATATCTTTAAAACATGCTTCATGGAATGCATAGAGAATGCCCAGGAATACCATGTGTTGCTCAGATCTCCTGTCAATATCCACAGCAGTCCATGTATTGCTTATTAGTAGGAGATTAAAAAAATTGCTACGGGGAAGTACAGCATAAGGCAGGTACATTTCACTCCCTCCCCCTCTACGATGCTTCCTCCACCCTCCCACCCCCCCCCAAAAAAAATCCCAGTTAAAAAAAATCTACAAGAAATATGTTTATCAGAAAAGTGAGGAGAGTAATCGTTCTTTTAGCTGGCAGCAAACTGTTAAGACATGAAACTTTTGTGATGCAGTGTTTAAGGAAAATGCTTGCATAACTGAAAGATGTAAACATTTTCAAAAGAGACTTTTGTTTCAGTCGTGTCTTCAGGAAAGTTTTAAAGTACTTGTAGGTGTCTATCTTAATCAGCTCAATTGATTCATACAATGTATGCGTGTTTGGAGAATAAGCAGTCTGTAAAATGTTGCAATGAGCTCTTGCATGTTGGAGAATTCTTTGACTCCTGAAGACAAAGACTCAGGAGTTATGGGGAGACCTCACAACTTGAGGATGGAAAATAATATTTTACATGTAACAAAAGCATTCATAAACTTACAAAGTTAATCCTTCTTTTTTTTTTTTTTAATAGGTCTTATTCCTTTGCTAGGAATTGATGTATGGGAACATGCTTATTATCTTCAGTATAAAAATGTCCGACCTGATTATCTGAAAGCCATCTGGAATGTGATCAACTGGGAGAATATATCTTCAAGATACGCGTCCTGCAAAAAGTAGAGTGGGGTTCTCGCGCAGACTTCTAAAATGGCATCAGTTCTACTTCAACACCACTCTTGTTGTAGTGCCTGTGACTCGCAAATGAATTGCTCCACTGCAGAAAATACTTAAGCTCATTCAGCAAAAGCATTTCATAATCAAGCAAAGTGTGTGCTTGTCTCTTTTTGAGAGGAGTATTTACTTAGATTTTTGAAGCTTTAAACTTGTGCGACAGAGAGACACTTTAAGTAATCTTTTCCACTGCCTATAGAAACATAACTAACCTTTCTCAAGGTTAATGAGGTAATGGATTTCCTTGTTGCACTTAAATATCTAAGTAGAAACATGTACTTGATGTTGCTATAAATAAATAAAACTCAGAAGAAGAATCTTATTTAATCGTTTAAAGCTGACTCATTTTTGGTCATAGTAGGTCTATCTACTTGTTTTGCTGGTGGCTGGAGGAGTATCTTTTGTAATTTGATGCATTTCAGGAACTTCCCTACCCTAAAGGTGGATGTAAGAGAAGGTGGGTGTTGCTGTGTGCTCTGAACAGACTTGACTGCCTTCAGTTATCAGAGGAATCCATGTTTTGGATTCTCCCCTTTCCTGGATCCCTTACAGGAGATCTTCATTTTTTGCAATGTGCATGAACTTTTGAAGTGTTGCTTTGAGAGGGGCATTACGGTGTCCTAGGAACATCTGTTATCTCCCTCTCTGGAAATCTTCAAAACGGCTTGCACGCCGTCCTGTGCCATGTGCTCTAGGTGACCCTGCGTGTGCAGGGGGGTTGGATTGGATGATCTCTGGAGGTCCCTTCCAACCTTAATGATTCTGTGATTCTATGAACTTAATGGCAGAATGCAGTACTCATTGCATAGCAGTTGTAAGCACGTCTTAAAACACACTTTAGCTTTAGAGACCAATTAGGTGCAACTTTGAAGTATAAATTGCCCCTGCTTTGCTTTGTTTCTGAAGCAGTTACAACAAGTAACTGCATAATGCTTGGGTCAGGATGAAATACTGTCTGGTAAAAAGGAGCATGCTTGGATAGGTCTTGAAAAGTGTAAAAGACAGGTTAGTGTGTTTTGTTTGCTACTCCTGTCTTAAATATTTCAGACTGGATGGTACTGGACTTATGCAATGCCTTGTACATAAGTTTCCTTGAGCTTGCTCAGTATGTGGCTCTAAGCACGGGATGAATTCTTAAAGGAACGAGGAAATTACTTCATACTTCAGAATTGCAGTCCAGTAATGTTAAGGGGAGAACTGTTTTTTAATAAGAGATATAAACGCATTTCATCAGGTGATGCAGGAGAACTACCAGATAATCTCTTGGTCTCTATGCAGAATTTTACCTAATTGGGTGTCTCTGTTGCAAATAAAAGTGAGTTGGGTAAGATGACTTACTATGTGAGGATAATAAATGCTCAGCCTTTAGAAAGGTCCATATTTACACTGTCTGCAGAATGCTCTGAAAGTCTGGGAGTTGGTGTTGGTATCTCTGTATCATAAAATATACCTGGCTTTCCTCTTAGGAGCTCCTATCCCGGTGAGTACCCACACTGTTTCCCCCATGGATGCACCTGGCAGAAGGAGTTCTGTACATCTTGTGTAGTACCTACTCGGTAAAGCTCAATCTGGGCTATTTTAGGTGTACTAGGGTGATCGGGTAATACGTCTTGAAATCCATCTTCCCATCCTAATGCTCCCAACTTTGGTTTTCATGCATTTCCATCTAAGCATTCTAACGTTAGATTCACGTGGCCCATAATACTCCTGCTATGAGACTATTGAGGCCAATCCTTTATAGCCACTATTACTAATGAGCTGCAGAAATGAATAATGTTGATAATTAAAGGTAGAGAAAGGGACAATGTTTACCACTGTAAATCCTATGTATTTCTAGGAAGCACCCAGTAGCCCGGGATCATGTGAAGCTTCACCGTGGCAAGGTAGTTGCTAAATGCATTGGTATGTGTGAATTAGGCTTTCTGGTGTGCAGGGTTTTTGTTTTTCTTTCTATTGAGTTGGTATCTGCATGGCTAAAAGCAGATGCTTGATCTCAGTTGTCAGACTGCAGCTATCGAATAGAATAGGTCGAATGGGATGAAGAGAGAAGCAGTGGCACTTTCTTTCTAGAGAAGGAACAGGGTCTTGAGATAAGGAGAGGATCCTCCGTTTCTCTCTTCCCAGAAGTATCATCAAAGTACAGGGGAAGCGGGTTGTGTTAACCATGGAACCTCCCTGGAGCTGACGGAAACGGCAGCATCTTTTTTTTTTTTGACTTACTCAAGATGTACGATACGGACAGACAGTGCTCAGCAAAGGGGAGACCAAACGGAGCCGAGACGGGAGCGCTCGGCACAGGGGCTGCGTGAGCAGCACGTCGGGGTGTGAGCGGCGAACCCTGGAGAGCCCCTTGGGCAGAGCTGGTGCTCATGCAGGCTTGGAAGGGTCCCGGGTGAGACTGGAGCCCTGCGGGGGGCTCGGCCTCAAGCGTGAACAGGTCAAGGAGAAGCGTCTCTGCCCTTGAGTCAGCTGCTGAGTTTGTCCTGGTGGCAGGGAGCCTGTCTTTAGAGTGAGCAAGGAGAATCCAAGGCTGGAGAGAAACGCTCGTGTTTGTGGACTGGGAATACCGAAGGCAAATACAGGTATGCTGAAGCAATGAAAATGATTTAATGCATGTTCTAATGCACCATATTTATAGAGGACTGAAGATTGTGTGCGCAGCTATTCTGCGGAAAGGGTTTGATTAAGCTATCCTAACTTCAAACTTCTGTGAGTTTTGGAAGAAGTCCCAGTGGCTCTTGTGAAATGAATTGGAGGATGTGCCTGTAATTTAGCAAGTCTGTTAGCAAAACTATCAACTGTCTGTGCAGTGAAAAATGTGTAAGCATATTACTAATCTGTGTTAGAAAGTAATTTCGAACCTTCTGTTGCTATTCAGAACTAACACTTTGCAATCACAGAAATAGCTTTGGAGAGGGGCAGGTGTTACCCCTATGTGAGACGAGGTAAGGTGAATAATCACAGCCAATGTCAGGTGACCTGTCTGAAGGGACAAGTCTTAAGGCATGTTGTTCAAAAAATGAACTACTAAGGCACTTTCTCCTCCTGATCCTAGCAGTGAAAATAGCAGCTGTGTGTGGAAAACAGAAGGGAAGGTTGATTCCAACCTGAGCTGTGCAAGGAATGTCACATCACTGAGCGTGAAAGTATTTGAGGACTTGAACTACTGGCCAGGGGCAGTGGGTTTGGTTCAGCAAATACTGAAATTAGAAGCCGGTGCAGAAGAATTGCGTCCCAGCCATCCCCGGAGCCCCCCTTCTGTCAATCCTTGTGCAAATGTGCTCTGTGTGTGTGTGCGTGTGTGTGTGTGTGTCTGTGTGTGTCTGAGTGCAGCCAGGTCGGGTGTGGGGGTGGTGTCACTTCATGTTAAAATAAGAACTTGGTATCATTTTTTTAATGGAAGAACAACTGCAATATCTAACCCAAATCCTCCTGGAAATGCTTTTGTATTATGAATCAGAAGAAGGGGCATCTGGGTGATCCCATAAAAATGCTCAACGGGAGGCAAAGCTGCTGTGTCTAATTAGAGGCTTTGGTCTGCAGGCTACAAAACAATCCAAGTGGCTGAGCTGCTTGGAAGCACATCCGCTCGGGTCTCCGGAGGCAACGTCCTGCTGTAAAACGTGCGCAAACATTTTTATTTTTTCTAATCTCCAAAATAACACATAAAGGCTGGTGCCGAATGCAAAGCATATGTCTTCCATTCAGAATTAGAATAGATTAAAGTAACTTAAGGTCAGGCAAACCAAGCTATTGCAGTCCTTTTGCTGTCACTGTGCTGGCTAGTGCATGTTAATGCTATGGGGCAGGTCCAGAAAGCCCGGACGGTGGCGCCTTCATCCTGCTGTTAGAATGGGAAAACTCTATGGATGCCTTTCCAGAGAGTCAGAGAGAAGAAAAATGCTCCTCTTTCCTCCCCTTTCCTCCCCTTTCCTCCTCTTTCCTCCTCTTTCCTCCTCTTTCCTCCTCTTTCCTCCTCTTTCCTCCTCTTTTCATTTTTTTTGGTTAGTTCACAGGTTTTGCTTTCCACATCACAACTGTTTATTTCATTTTTATCTAGAGAATGCAAAAAAAAAAAAAAAACCCACGAACTTTTTTGCAGAAAACCCTGGCAGTGACTCAAGAATAAGAGAACTTGCTGCAGCTTCAGCTACTTGGAAAAGGAAGGTACTCATTTGTTCAGTGCAGACCTCCTCCAGCTAATCTGGTAGGCTCATACAGATGTAATACCTTTTTATTTACAGAATACTTACTTGGCTTTTTATTTTTTGTTTAGGAATTTAGTCCTCTCTAGAAGAGCAGAAGCAGTATAAAATGGTGCTGCTCTATTTCTCTAATATTTTGCACTCTTACTACATGGACTTTGCCGAAGTATATCATTACACTAATGTAAGGCAAACGACTGCTGTTGGCAGTTCTGTCTAACATGGAGCAGATAACATTCTTAAATTTTAACGGTCTTAATCTGTCTTTTCTTAAACCACCATCTACTTAATGATTAAAAATAGTGCATTCCGGTTTCACCATAGCCGTCACATTGCTCGTTTGGTTTCCAGGCGTTGCTCCTGCTGGGTCCGGGGCAGGTGCATGGGTTTGGCTGCAGATGTGGAGCAGCTCTGGTGCCGGGAACCAGCTTGTGCTTCCCACTAGATGGAGGTGTGCGTCTGCTCTACGCTGCTTTGGATGGATTACAGAATTGGGTTTTGGAGAGGCAAATTATGACTTTTAAGTGCTCTCACTGCACGCGATGCAGACTGCGTTTGGACAGTTGCTTTCACACCTTAAATGTCAGCTAAGGGACTGTCCCGAGTCCCATCATGGTCTTGCCAAAGCGGCTGGTGTTCCCAGGGGCTTCTGCGGTACCACTGAAGCAATGCGGTGACCTGTTCCCCTGTATCTCTTTTAAGCATCCCTCTGGCCTAATGAACATGTCTCTGAATCATCTGGAGCACAGCTTCCACATGGGAAGTCTTGACATTAAGGCTTTGTGAAATGGCTGGCAGTCCCATAGTTACAGGTTCTTGTTACACATATATTTGCAGGAAAAAAAAAATCAAATTCTGATATAAAGGTATCCATAAAACTCTGGAGAAACACAAGGCAGACAGATTGGGGGCTCACAGCGTCTCACTCCTTTGGGGCATTTAACCATGCTAGAGAAGGTAGGTAACTTTGAAAATTTGAGACCTAACTTCAACTAGACTCCAGTTCCCTAGTTCTTTTTATTTATTTATTTATTTTCCTACCCTTTTCTGCTGAATAGCCAAGCCTGCCCCCTTAGCTTCTCTCCACATCCATAGAGTGCTTCATCTAGTTCCCTTA